AGTGTTGCGGGTGCTTTGAAGCGCGTGGGCCAGAAGAAGCGCAGAATGATGCGTTTGAGCCGATCCAGGTAGTGGCCGCACAGTGGAGTGAACCTTGCCCGATACCAGACCTTGCTCAGCCCGATTGCGTTCGCGATGACCACCTTGCCCGGCATCGACAAGCCCCTGCTGTTCCATCGCAGCAGCTGAGCCTTCACCTTGTCCAGCAGCTCTTTGTAGTTTGCCTCCTCGCGGTTGCCATAGCCCAGGACTCTGGTGCATTTGTCAGGTGGCAGGAAGTCGAGGTGAGCGATCGCTTGCAGTGGAGTCTGGCGCTTGTCTCGCCCGAGTCTGATGACTGTCGTCTTTTCTTCGTTAACTTTCAGGTTTGTGGCTTCCCCAACTCGTTTGAGGGCCGCCATCAGCTTCGGTATCTCGTTCTGTGATTCCAGGAAAACCGTCGTGTCGTCGGCAAACAGGGTGACCTCGGTCGCCAGGTTCGGATCCAGGCGCAGGAAGCGCAGGCCAGCCCCTTTGCAGAGGTAGTCCGCCACGCAGCACGCATACAGCGCGTACAGCGCAGGCGCTTCCACCGATCCTTGACGCACCGACCGCTCGATCTTGAAGGGCTCCGAGATGCGGTTTTGGTACACAATGCAGGCTTGGCATCCCGTGTTGAGGAGCTTCATCCAGTGCAAGAATCTTTCTCCAATCCCATATCGCTCCATGGCCTGGAACAGGAAGCCATGGTCGACGCGGTCGAAGGCCTTTTCGCAGTCCAGCAGCACCGCGACTCCTCCAATGCGCTTTTCCTTCGTCAGGTCGAGCACGTCGCGCACTAGGTGGATGCAGTTGTCGATCGTGCGTCCTAGGACAAAACCGTTCTGGCATGTGGGGAGAATGTCGTTGGCAACAGCTTGAAGACGTTGCACCAGCGCGCGTGCAATGATCTTGCTGTCCACGTTGAGCAGCGAGACTGGCCGGTAGTTTTTCAGCTCGTCTCGGCTGCCCGTCTTGAACAGAAGCTTGATGTGTGCCATGTACATTGATGCAGGTAGGCGCCCGTTTCGCATTGACCGATTCGCGATGGTTGCTAGCAGCGGGGCCAGCAGCTCTTCAAAGTGATGGTAGAACTCAGGCGTCAGCCCGTCAGAGCCTGGGCTTTTGCCTTTGGTCGTTCTTTTGATCGCCTCTCGGAGCTCCATTGCGGTCAGGTCAGCGCCCATACGCTCGTGGACTTCCGCGTCCAGCAGCTCACAAGGCGAGGCGCAACGAAGCACTTCCTCCTGGGCGGCCGGGACGGTCGGCTCACTGGCGTACAGAGTCTGGTAAAAGCGGGAGCTGCGTGGAGCTCGCTTTCCAGTCGCGTTCTGCAGCGTTCCAGCTCTTTGGTGTTGCCACCTTGGATCCGTAGTTCTGCCATACTTCTTTCCGTCATGCGAAGCTCCGTCTCAAGTAACTCCTGCTGTCTCTTGGCGTTCTGGTCACGGTCGGTGCTCAGTTGACGAGCGCGGCTCATGATCTGCTTCTTTGCCAGATCCCATCCAGCTTCCGGAGCGCCGTCTCGCGCGAGCTTGATGAGGACACTCTCGCAGTAGTGGGTGAAGTCGGCGTCCAGCAGCAGTCGCGCATCGAATTTGTACTTGGCCGCAGGCCGTGGTTGGTCGTTGGTGCCCATGCAGCTGACGCACACCGCACGGTGGTCCGAGTCCTTGTACTCTTTGATCCTGGCTTGTGTGGCCAGGAACGGGAGCGTGCT